TTTCAGGTAGAAGTAGCATGAGCAACATGAGAGATAATTAGCCAAATCATTCTATATCTATTTATGCCTATCTATTTTCGTTTTTAGTTATGAGTATGCATAAGAGATAAAATAGATCTGGATAGTCTTCTTGGCCTAATGTTAATATGAGACTTGTAAAAGAATGAGTTCCAGTTCTGATGATCCTCATCACATAATGGACGAAAGCTCAGCCCGTTTCAACTGAGACAAAAAAAGAAGTCTCGAGGATTGTGTCAATCCAAACGTCGTTTTAGGGCTAAACAGCTACAGTACAATGGGAATCGGCCGTCGTTTTCTGTTGACATCGACCCTTTAAACTCTCCTTCATGCACCTTCATACAAAAAGACAGTTTTTCATAAATGTTATCTCAGGAGTTTGATTGAATATATGAAGACCAAGATGTTGTGGCCTCTGGTGTGGTCGCAGTCTCCTTTCGATCTCAGGAGATTCATCTAAACCCAGTTAATCTTCGTATCTAATTATACTTTATTAAAAAATTGGAAAGAGAGGGTGTTAAGCCATGTCTTTCTTTGGATCGTTAAACCTTAATGACCCTAGTCTGAGAGGCTAAGACAGGTGGTTTCGTAATCCGACTTATACGCTTACAAGTTTGCATCTTATTATCTCGGTCAGAGTTGATTACGGACTTAAGAAATCTCGATTAAGGTTTTTTCATGGGTCGTCAAGCCTTGATGGCCTGAGCCATCGCCTTCTGATGAGATCAACCTTCAAATCACTTCATCATGCAATTTAATATGAAACTAAAGTACCCACAAGAATACTGGCTTAGGAGATTCATCGGAACCTAGTTATTCTTCGTATCTACAACACGCCTATATTTGCATCCAATGAAGAAATAAGTGGCTGAGAGTCACAATAATATGGAATAAAAGTTATTTATGAAAGAATGTAGAATTTTGTGTGATATAGATGTCACTAAAAATATGGACTCGGCCCTACGCCAATATGTAAAAACGTCAGTGGCGTTTGGCGCCAATGCGAGAGAGCAGTTTTCGGACACAAGGCGTCACAAAGGAAGAGAGTGGCGGAGATACCGTTCCTCAGTATAGGGTTATTTTAGCTTAAAATAATCTTGTGTACTTCTGATGCCATGGTCTGATTGGTAAAAAGGGGATACTCGATGATGTAGCGATAGAATATGCAATACCATTAAAGAAAGTCCATATATATGCATTTTAGTTTATATGCAAGATTTTGGCTTTGTAATGCATTATCATGCAACAACATCTCATGGAATAAGTAGTAAGGAGCAAAGTTTAGGGCGAAAAATCCGTTGGTTTTCTAAGCATAAACATGGTTAAGTTGAGAAACAAACTATACATTTTCTGCACGAGACTGGCAAAAAGGGACAATAGAATTGTTTTTCGATCTTGGAATCAATAATAATAGATTTAGTAATAAAGTTGGTTAGAAGGGTCCTGTATATTAATATTATCTAAGAACAAATGTATTGGAGTCTATTTTCAATAAGAGCCTAGTAGGCCTCAGTGTAGTATCCTCAGAACTATTATCCCCTGAATATGTGCTGCGTTGTACTGTATTGTGGAACAAATTGAGAAAAGGCATTCCTAAAAAAAGCCTAGTATAAGTACTTTGTTAACAATATAGCAAGCTGTAATTCTAAAATAATAGTATGAACACAATTTTGACCTTTATAAGGAATTAGATCATTAGTGACTGCCTAATTCAATCTAAACTTGTCAAAGTGACAACGAAGTAGATCTCATCAAATATGTATTTCTTTCCATCAATAATAAATTTATCCGTGTACTTTAAAATAGCGAAAAATGTCTTGTCTACATACGAAATACTGAAGAGCTAGCTTGGTTTACATGGACTCAAGCAAACTTCAAGCTAATAGTCACCGTTTTTGGAGGTTCGAGTCCCCTTATTCCCATAAGATTATATACTAATCAGAAGAAACTCATTTCTTTGTAGTGTTCTGATATCCTTTAAAATAAACAGTTTAGTTATCTAGATGTCACTAAAAATATGGGTTCGGCTTTACGCTACTAGGGCACTCGTGACAGTGTGGCGTAGTGGGTAACGTACCGAGAGTATAAGGCACTATCACGGCTCGAGTCCCTTTAAGGCTGCTGAGAGCTAGGAAAGGTGGAAACTACAGTCCACTTTAGATTAGTACACTCTTTTGGAAACAAAGCTATGCAAAATTCAAATGAAATGTAATGTCTATTCATATCGTTGTGGGAAAATTCAACTACAAGTCTTTCATCACCTTAAACGAAATAAGTTAAACACATCCCATATATCTCCAAAATAAATCCCATCATATGAACAGACGAAGTTAGGAAGGACCAAGGATACTCGAAGAGATAGAATCAAAAAGTATACCCACCATTTCGCCTATCTTCTTCGATAGAATATCGAAAGACCATACTTCGTTTGCATTGAGATGTAGAGTTAGAAGATGATTGCGGAATTTTGGTCATAAGCCAGGCTTCTTGAGGCTATCTTAAGAATTATTTTCGATTTGAAAATTTCTATCACATAAGGTATGAAGGCAGAATACTAATTAATCGAGGCTGGAAAACGACTAAATTTTTCGCATATAAGTAGAGCTTCGAGACCACCAGTAAATCATTTGTATGAGATGTATTCACCTCATTTAGTTTAAGGTGATGTGACCGAGTGGTTAACGTGTCGAGCTCACATGTCTCACAGTCACAGTTCGATTCCCGCTGGGAGTGTTGATAAGACCTATGAGAGGTCGAAACTACAGTCCACTTCAGCCGGGATGAGAACACCTTTTGAGAAAGCAAGGCTATGTGAAATTCAATGGAAACATCAGCTCTACTCATATCATTGCGGGAAAATTTCACTACCAGTCCTTCATCACCTTAAACGAAATATGGTGAAGACATCTCATATAAACGTCTAAATGTTTCTTTAAGCTTGCTTTTGCAACTTGGTCGGAGCGACAGAGACCTTGAGGAAAATGCCTGGTTCTGCATCCTCTGACATGAATATTGCCAACATCGGACCGTTGATTATGTACATCCCCAGATGTTTCGCCGGCATCATCATATGCGCTATCTTTATCCGAGTTACAACTCGTAGCAAGTGAAGGCAATCCCTTTGACTAACTTTCAGTTCAACGATTTTGGCATCGCCTCTTATGCCCTAATTTCTAGCTCTATATCCCTATCCCTCAATCTTAATTAATATCGATAAGTTACCTAACTGTAAACTCGTTTGCTCTACATCTTCACCACCGGTTTCAGAAGCCACTCGCAGGACTTCTATTATCTTATTAGCTCTTTCACTTAGCTACCCTCTCTCTGCTGCACATGAAAATCACTGTCTAACTTGTGATTACGCTTTACTAAATCCACTAGAAGAAACAAATTCATAGGGAACGTTGGAGCAAACGAAGATAGAGATAAGTAAATGGGCGATATGAAGTGTGGTTGAGGGATAAGAATGCAAAACTAGCAGATAGGACAGGAAGAAAGCAATATGCCACAATGGTTGAACATATAGTTGTTTAGGTATATTGCCTTCATTCGTTACTGATGAGTTGTAAATATACGATAAGGATGGACCCCCTCACTGACGATGCCGACTACGATTCCAGCCAAACGTCTTGAATGTGACAACGGACCGATTCTG